AATATGTGTTAATATAATGCTCCAATTCACCCACCACCATCATCTGTAATGATAATGCGCCACAAGGGACTTTGGTTTGTTGGTCAGTAATAGGAGTTTTGGTATTTGCCACTCTCCTCACTATTTAGGAGGGTGGGGGGCATGGAGGCATATTGTCAGAGCATTAGGATCTGTTACAGCGAAAGCATAGGGAAAGCTGACAATCTGTGTAGGGAGAGATTAGGGTCAGTTTGGAAATGTACTGTAACAATTTTTGGCTGATTTGATCTCAGTGGTTACCTTTAACATTTTTTTCATTGCAGAAGTGCTTTCCTTTAAAAAAAAGTGCCTTTGTTGCAGGGGATTTATTTTGGATTTTCACTGGTTTTTATTGTAAGTTGATAAATAATTTTTAGGATAAACTTCAATGTATCCTTTTAGAAAAAAATGGGGGGGGGGGGGGATTTTGTTATGGAAGGGGGGGGTATGGTTGTTGGTTTTAATTTCTTTTGGTCATTTGTTGAGTTTTATATCATGTTGATTGGGGCTTGTTTTAATTATGGGATGCTCATAGCACAGCTTTCATTTGATCCTGGCCATCTGTTCTTGGAGCTGCCTTTTGTTCACAGTATGCCTCTGCATCATTTAAAAGAAATATAAAATTATGATGTAAAACACCTGAAATTGTGCCCTCTATTCCTATACAAACAAAGTTAGGCATACACCAGTTAGACCTAATATTGCTGAATAAAACTGTACTGCTGCTTACTAATTTTCACTGTTGTCCTCTGTGGTCTCTCGTACTAAAGCAATTACCTGCAATCTTTGTCCTTGGTAACTTTGGGCTTTAAATTGCTTTTTAATATTGTCCTCCTTTTGGCCAATTTTACACCACTGTATCATATGCAGTCTCCTTCTTTTTAATGCCAGTTTGATAGAAACTCCCTGGACCCTAATAGTGATGTATAATATGAGTGTAAAAATATAAAGTTGAATCCCAGATTTAAATAATTCTTACAAATTAAAGTGACAGTACAAAATAAATGGGAAGAAAACAGTGTGTGGAGTTCCCCTAAAATATGAACGGACACAAGGGAGCGCCAATCTGGGTGTAGAGGGTTAATAATTTATTAACATGCATACAAAACTAGTAACTACTCACAAATGGAGGGACTATTAAGGCGTGTAAAAAAAAACAATCCTCGGCTTGACCAGTGGGGGGCCAGCGGTGTCAATATGGGTCCTGGTCCTTCTGGATGGGGAAGGAGCTGTCAACTGTTAGCGGTGAAGGAATCTGGAAACCGGCGATGTAACCAGCATGGAACGCAAGGAAGTCTGGACATGGCGAGCGACCAATTGGGAGGCGAGGAGAAGTCAGGTGACGCGTTTCGAAGCTTCTTCTTCACTGATTGGCAGTGGGGAAAGTCACTCTCTTATAGGAGGAGGTCCGGACGAGGCGGACTAGTAATAGAGGATTGACAGCGGTAAGCTTGAGATGGGATGTGCAGTATGGATCGGCGGATGGGATCGGAGCACCACAATACACAAATGAATAGATCAAACAAAAGGATCACTTGTTGACATACAACAACAAAATTACAATAATCACATGTGTATGACATAACAAGGATTGTGTGAGAAGCCATTGTGGTAGTATCAAATAAAGCAAAAAAGGAATGAAATACTTTAAAAACTTTCTGAACTTTTAAAGCGGACCATATGGTTGTATAGTGTCATATGTAGAGCTGTGTATCCGGTAATCCCATCCGCCAATCCATGCTGCACATCCCGTTTCCATCTTACTGCTGTCAATCCTCTATTACTAGCCCTAATTACTAATTACTAGTCTCATCCTGCCCTCCTCCTATAAAATAGTGACTTTCCTCACTGCCAATCAGGTCTGAAGATGAAGCAGTTACTTCGAAATGCATCACCTGACTTCTCCTCGCCTCCCTATTGGTCACCCTCTGGGTCCAGACAGCCTTGTGTTCCACGCTGGTTACGGTGCCGGTTTCCAGCGTCCTTCATCACTGACAGCTGTATTGTACAGTATATGTACAGAGTATTGCTTCACTCTATGGGGAGCTGCCTTCACCAGTAATATCCCTAAAGACTCATGGACATTATGGACTTTTATGCTCTCATATGACCTACTAGTATGGGAATATTCTGCCATATTTTCAGAGCTGCACCTTTGATGCCCATGCTTCATTTAGTCCTTATGTAAGGTAGTTCAATCTCAGCACCAATTGTCTATAATTGTTAATTCCACCTAAAACAACTCCCTGACCCTTATTCAGGCATGCAGCAAAGCCCCCTTCCCCTCTTGCAAGGCACTCTTGCCCAGATGTAGGTAGACATAAAGCTCTTCTCTCTCTCTCTCTGATACCCTGAGAAGGAAGAACATGGGGATAGCTATAGAAGAATCTGGAAGCCCCTTTATAATTTAGTTTGCCTCAAGATGTCCATCCCCACCTAATAGAATGAGTACAGGGGCACATACTCTTTATCCATCTCCACAAACAGTTAAAGGTAAATTGAGCAAAAAAAATTACTATAGGCTTTATAATGATTAATGACATTAAGTGCTTATCTTTGTTAGGTTCTTCAAATAATAACAGGTTCGCTTGCTAGAATGACTTTGCAGAAATAATTTATTGGAACAAATTGTTGTTCTCCAAATCCTTGGAATGTCTTTCTGTGACACATAGGGGTTGATTTACTAAAGGCAAATCGGCTGTGCACTGCAAGTGCAGTTGCTTTAGATCCAAGATGAAGCTCTGAAATAATAGAGACCGTTAGTCTAGATTCCACTCTAAGTCCCCGCATATTGCCTCCATCTCCATCTTGGGGTATCCAAGGTAAGGGAGAAGTGCCTCAACATTTGAAACAAGGGTGCATTGCAAGGGAGGGGGGGTGCCCTCTACCCCCTTGCAAGATAGCTGCCCCCAAATGTTGAAGGACAGATGCTGCCCTCCCTTTCCTGGCCACTCAGGCTCTGTGCCTGGATAACAATCTGGCTGGAATTGTAAGCAAAATCCCACACCATTTTTTTTCTTAATACTGTCCCTGAAAATCATACTGTTCCATAATACCACATGCAGCTTTAAGGCATCCCCCAACCATATCATTTAAAGAATTTTAAAGGCATTTATATATTGGATGCTTGATTGGTAACATGTTAAACATTACTAGCTTCATGTATGCTAGAGACAGTTTAGAATACAGGAGGAAATGCAAAATATGAATTAACTCAATAGCCAACAACAAAATTGTTATTTATAAGAATGCAATTTTTAAACTTAGGCAGACTTTCATCACTCAATAAATCTACCAGGAAATTGAAAATTGTCATTTGTTTTAATTTGTCACTTCATATTTAGTTTTGTATATGCCTGTAGTGTGCTGAAATATCTAATAAATATAATATGGGATTTCACACAAAAAATCAGTTAGAAGGAATATAGATAGTATCTAGCACTGTAGCCAGTTTGCAGGCATTTGTTCCATACTGCAGATGAAGCAAATGAAAAGTATCACTGTGAAGCGTAAAATGCTTTGCACGCAGATCAGAGCAGCATCAGCATCACAAAGCCAGGACTCTGATTAAAATCTTTCTTTCTTGTTTAAGCAGAGGGGGGCAGAGCATTTTCATAATTTAATTTAATGATGAGTTCACCTTTTGACAAAAAATAATAAATGCATATTTGTTGCAGGTAAAAAAATGTGCATTTATTATTTTTTGTTTCTGGAGCATCTACAGCATCTACAGCAGATCGCTGGTGCCATGCAGGTCTCCTGCAAACCTATCAGATCCTGTCTGTCGGGCAAGTAGATACTTACTGACAGGAAAACTCAATGAAAACTACCACTACAGAATACTGTCAATGAGTGGCACGGCTGGAGCCCCTTTTTTTTTTTAATTGTGACTATTAGCGGGGGGGGGGGGGGGGGGGGGGGGGGGGGGGCGGTGTATGGGGTGCAGAGCTGGTCCATTCTTAACATGTTACACCCTGAATATGAGTGTAACATAACATGTTATGAAAGGTGAACTTATCCTTTAAATGCATTAATACATAATTATTTCTTTATCGACTATTGGGAGACAGGATTTCAGGAATTGCGCTGCAATAGCGGCAACCGGTTTTCCGTAATTGCAGTGCGGTTTATCACATGACATTCATGGCAGAACCGCACCAAGTTTTGGTGCCCTTGAAAATGAATGGCACTCGAACAGGCGTGGTGTGATTTGTCAATTATGTGGAGCGTTTTGGGATCACAGGCAAAATCGCAGCAATTCTACTCGAGAAAATAAACGCTCAAGTGTGAGAATTGTTTTTTTATTCATTAAAATCTTAACTTTTAATATATTTATTCCTTCCATGTTCTTCTCTTCATTTATTAGACAGGATCACTCCTGATCCATCAGAGGAGTTGCAGTGCCCCTTTCTTTCATTTATTGGATGTTTTGTATGAATTCTATGGACAATGGTACTGACAAGGTTGCTACTGGCATGTGTACAGTGTACTACTTTCATCATATATTTCTAAACCATGCTCGTCACCACTTTATTCTGTACACGGGACTGTGTATGACATGCTCCTGACTACTGCACACTGTATCCTTGGCAATATCCGATATGCCCCTGACCACTGTCCAATATACCTTGGCCTGTATCTGACAGGCTCCTGACCACTGCGCTTCATACACTGGGCTGTGTATGATGTGCTCCTGATTACTGCACTCTGTACACTAGACTGCCTGTGCTATGCTCCTGACTACCTCATTTTGTACCCTTAGCTGTATATGGCATGCTCCTGACCAATGTACTTTGTACGCTTAGCTGTATATAACATAATCCTGACCACTGCACTCTGTATGCAGGGCTATATATGACATACTACTGAGCACTGCACTCTGTGCACTAAGATGTACTGTGTATAAAATACTCCTGACTACACTATTCTGTACCCTGGGATGTATATGGCATGCTCCTGACCACTGTACTTTGTACCTTGGCTGTATATAACATAATCCTGACCACTGCACTCTGTATGCAGGGCTATATATGACATACTCTTGATCACTGCATTCTATCAACTTTGCTGTATATGACATATCCAGGGGCGGACTGACCATTTGGAAACTCGGCACTGCCCGAGGGCCCGGGGTCAGTAGGGGGTCCCATGAGATGCCCCTGGTACCTTTTTCATAGGCTTTTTTGAGTTTGGGCAAGCACACAGGGGCCTCATGATCCCCTATTGCCCGGGGGCCCCATGAGTTGTTAGTCCGCCCCTGGGCATACCCCTAACCACTACACTCTTTATGCTAAGCTGTATATGACATAATCCTTACCACTGCATTTTATACATGGGGATTTATAAGACATACTTATGACCACTTCACTCAGTACAAGATGTACTGTATATAAAATACTCCTGACTACTGCATTCTGTACCCTGGGCTGTATATGGCATGCTCCTGACCACTGTACTTTGTATGTTTGGCTGAATGTAACATAATCCTGACCACTGCACTCTGTATGCAGGGCTATACATGACATCTCTTGATCACTGCATTTTATCAACTTTTCTGTATATGACATACTCCTAACCACTACACTCTGTATGCTATGCTGTATATAACATAATCCTGACCACTGCACTCTGTATGCAGGGCGACATATGGCATACTCATGAGCACTGCACTCTGTACACTAAGATTTACTGTGTATAAAATACTCCTGACTACTCTATTCTGTACCCTGGACTGTATATGGCATGCTCCAGACCACTGTACTTTGTACATTTGGCTGTGTATAACACAATCCTGACCACTGCACTCTGTATGCAGGGCTATATATGACATCTCTTGATCACTGCATTCTATCAACTTTGCTGTATATGGCATACTCCTAACCACTCTACTCTGTACACTAAGATGAACTGTGTATAAAATACTCCTGACTACTGCATTATGTACCCTGGACTGTATTTAACATAATCCTGAAAAGCACATGTAATGGAAGAGTTTTTTTCTTTTTTACAAATGATTGTGCTGAGGTTTATATATCCATCACTTATACCTTCACTTGTGTACAGTAATTAAAGCATATTTTATTGGAAAAATGACCAAGCCATATTTGTTGGGTACACAGTCAGTAGGCCCACATTTTAAGCCCCTCCTTTTACAACTCCCAGTCATCTGCCACTACGCACTGCCTAATCATTCTTTGAACCCCCACAAGGAAAAAAATATCTCTGCTCCTGCATGTCTGATTTAAATGATCATTGTGAGGAATAGCACTTGTATTATAGCTAAGTGAATGGTGTCTAGAAACTTTCCTCTATGCAAAATATCTGGTCACCCCAAAACTTCCAGCATTAGCACAGGAGTTAGGCAATGATAATCTAATTTCTAATGGATACTTTTAAAGTGGAACTGTATTCACCACTGTGATGTCTGAGATCTTCCTCTCTGGGCTAACATCTCCCAGTCTTAGTTTGCGATTTTCAGCCAATTTAGGTGTCCGTTTATGACACACAGAATAGCTGAGATTCAGAGGATCACAGCTATTCTCTGGTCATTCACAGTTTATAACACCCAGGAGAATATGTTCAGCCCTTCTATGGAGATCTGTGTTCTCCCTCCAGATTCTCCAGCCCAGAGCTGGAGAATCAGAGGGACCGAAAACTAAGCAGAGATAATTTACCTCTGCTTAGTAAACTGATCTTTTACTGTAATCTCACGAGATTATAGTAAAATCAGCCGTTTTCCAGAGTTTGTAGACTGTTCTCCAGCGTTTGGAGATCGTTCTCCCTTCGTTCGGAGAACTGCTTCATAAACTGCATTCACAGGAGAACTGTGTTCTCCGAGAATGCCGGAGAACTGAGCAGCGATCTATTACCGCTGGTTCATAAACGGACACCATAATTTGCATGCGCAAAGCTCATTTTTAAATATAATAAAAAAACACTGTTGTAATTCCGCAAGGTGGTGAGCGGTCAGTGCATTGGCTTGATCTTCTAGTACCTGAGCAAACCTGAAGGTGAAAGAAAGCCAGCAGCTTGATCTTCCACAATAAATAAGTTTATTAAGCCAGGTGTGGTACAAAATAATAAAGGGCTTACGCGTTTCGTCATGTAGCCTTAGTCATAGCCATGCTGTTTCTCTTTTCTTTCTTCTCCCAAAGAGGATAGGAGGGGAGGAAAAAAGGGGAAAAAGAAAACAGCATTGCTATGACTAAGGCTACACGCCGAAACACGTAAGCCCTGTATTATTTTGTAGCCCACCTGAATGAATAAACATATTTATTGTGGAAGATCGTGCTGCCAACTTTCTTTCATCTACAAAGTTCATGTTGACACCTGGTGGGATTGTACGCTGATCTGCATATGATAGTTACAAAAAGATAGGTAACAATCTTTTTTTTTTTCCAGAAAATGCATAATGGACTTGATTTACTTAATGCAAATAGGCTACTCACTTTGCAAGGGAAGTTATACTTACTATATAAGTTATTGCAAGGCAACTGGCCTACAAAATGGGGTGAAAGTAAATGGGGTGAAATATTACCTTGCAATACCCAATAAGGGTTTGTGTACTATGCAGCTGATAAACTCACGTTTAGGAGCTTTTCTGTGTTTTTTCAGCAGCCTCTGAACTCTCCCTAATGTATTCCTCTGTGTCCATGTACACTATGTTGTTTACAGGCAGTTGAGTGTACAGTTGTTTTTTGGAATGCACCAGGAGTAGATTTTATCAGCGTTTCAAACACCAAACGCTTGTAAACGCGTGTAAACGTGGCTAACCACATTGATAAGCGTTTGCGTTTAGAAGCGTTTTGTAACTGTTCCATATCCAGATGCTGTTCAGAGCCTTTTTTCATCATCAGAAATGCATGCAAAGCATTTTCCATGTATTCAAATGGACCCGGTACACCAGCGCAGTCAGTTCCAGGTTTTGCATGAAGGAAAAAATGGTAGAACATGCTGCATTATGCTCATGATGGGATCCATAGTGAATACAACCAGAAAAGACAGCTAATCTCAACACATACTGCTCTCTCTGCTTCTGCTCTCTGGTTCTCTCAAAATGTCTGAAATAGTTAATTTTGTACTATTTTTCAGTGCATTCTGGGCATTTTGGAAGGTCTCCTGAGGTTATCTTAAAAAACACTTCGAAATGCAAACGCTCATAAACGCGCATAAACGTGCATGAACGCAGTATGCAAATGCAGCTAAACAGATGTTTTTTAACCTACGTTTTCCAGCAGTCAATTTCCATCGTTCAGAAGTGTTTTCCAAACGTCCCGTATACATGGAGCCTAACATGGAATGACAATAAAAAAACAAGTGTTTTTGCTTGCACGTGATTGGATAATGAAAGTTAGCAAAGTGCCACCTCATTCACTAAGCTCTGGAGCAAATTCCCTTTAAAAGTGAATAGCCTATTTGCCTTTAGTAAATCAGCTATATGTCTCTTCTGCAATAAGATGCCTGCCTATTTGCAAATGTTTAATTTCTATATAAAGTTCCACATTAAGAGACAAATAATTGTTTTGCTGTTAAAAAAATGCATTACTAACCTTTCTAGATAGATAATTGACCCTTCATGAAGCATTCATCATAACTAGATAATTAAAATGTTTACTTGTCTTTAGATATCTAGCTATTTGCTTAGAAATTTAACTCAAATATAATGTAATGCAAGTGAGCAATAATACTTCTAGCCTTTATTTTGAAATGCCTTTCAAAGGGATATTTTTAAAAATGAGCATTTCTCAAGCCCTAATTATATTACATTAATTACTTGCTGTATTTCTAGTTCCAAGAAATGACAGCAAAGTGCAAATGGTGTGCTCATTTGCTTTTGTGGGATAGTAGCGATGTACTTTTACATACGTCAGTTGCTGGCATGACTAATAATGCACAATTCTCCTCTAAAATCAATTGCAAATGTGTTACAGAATCAGCTTAGTATACCAAGCAACAGTATTACTAAATTATACTGGCAGGTATTATTGATTTACCTTAAAACCTTTTTTGCTGAGTCTATTTTCTTTGAGATCTAAAAAATGTAATATATTGCAGCTGACCAATTTTTATATATGGTGGCTGAATGTGTTTTCCATTTTAAGGCTCCCCTCCCCCCCCACTTGGAAGAAAAATATATTTGAAATATATTTTAAAAATATTCTCCCCAAATATATTGACATATACTTGAAATACTACAATTTTATCCATATTCAGTATAGTTCAAAATATATTTCGAGATATATATATATATACACACTGTATGTTGAAATGAGTTTTTATTACAAAATATATGAAAAATATTTTAAAAAAAATACATTTTCAAATGTACTATATGTCTTTAAAAATACAAATATACATTTTTGGAATACATTTACAAATATATGTAAAAATATATGTTAAAATTATTTTTTTATATGTTAACAAAAATATGAAAAATATATTTTAAAAAAATATAATTTTTTAAAATATATTCACTATATATTGTCAATCTGGAGAGAGGGTAGTATTAGATAAACTAGCAGATTAAGGGCCCTTTCCCACAGGCGTCACCTGTTAAGTCTTGTTTTTTGCTTGGAAAAAAACGAATGAATGCGGATTCAGTTTCCTTTGGTTTGCACACCTGTCTTCAATTCATTTTACATCAGTTTATATCAGTTTGCACTTCAGTTAAGTTCAGCTCAGTTCAGTTCACATCAGTTGTCATGCATTTTTGCATGTATTTTTTCAGCTGTTGCAGAAGTCAATGATAGGTGATAAAAGTACAAACAAATAATATTTTTTGCCTAAAAATCCACATAAACAGAATGGAAGTAAACAAACAGCATTGGTTTACATCTGTTCAGATCTGTTTAAAAGGAAAATACAGCCTTGTTCCATTTTAAAAAATAGACCTGAATGGGCACGGATGTAGGCAGATGTACTGTAAGTGGATAATCATCCATTTACATCTGCAGGCCCGTTGGAATGAATTTCTGTTCATTTTTAATCCAAAAGAACAAAAATAGATGAGTGGAACACCCATGTGAAAGGGCCCTTAGATGGTCTTGGCTAGCAAATTAACTCCAGCTAACACTTTTTCAGCAGTGACAGGAAAAGATCAATAAAAGCTGACCATAGTAAGCACCCCTCTCATTTTAAATGTTTGTCTCAACGCTCGTAACTTACAA